TGTTCAGCGTGCTGTCAAACCTACACTAGCAAGGAGATCGGGCTGAAACTATAGCTACAAGCTATCCAAGGATGGTACTATAGAATGTCACCTCAAGGTAGGCCTAGTGGCGTCATCTCTTGGTTAGGCCGGAAACTTATCAATCCACCCTCGTACATAGATACATACAGACGTACATATACATGTATGTATTTTTTAGATCTGTTCCGCCACGATTCGGACCACTTGATCTGATAAATGAGGGAGGTATTAGCAAAAAGCTGGTGCCTTGCTCGAACAACTGTGTCATCGATTTTCTCGACTTTCCATCATGCTTGCTAAATAAATTTCTTAGATTGCCGTCTCCCCAAACTGTAGAGCGAATAAAAATACGACACCGATACGTTAGCTGCCAGCTGTATATTTTTTCTTTTATTATTGCTATCAACACGATATCATTTATATATCGGTTATCCCGTATTATTATGGTCAAATTTACCGTGACCATTATTCATGACTATTGACACCCCGTATATCACTTAGTTTTAGAATTAATCACTACTACCCTAGACAAAAATTTTCAGCCTCTCTCCAGTCTCTCAGAGTCTTTCAGAGTCTTTTAGCGTCTCTGAGAGCGTTTCTCACAGTTTTTCACAGTCTCTCAGTTATTGCCTAGATGTTTTTATGGATCTCTCACAGTCTCTGTATGAGAGACTCGAACGATAAAATTGTTAATTCAGAGATTCGAGTCTCTCACAGAGAGACTGAATGAATAAAACTGAAAAATTGAGAGACTCGAGTCTCTNTTATTGCCTAGATGTTTTTATGGATCTCTCACAGTCTCTGTATGAGAGACTCGAACGATAAAATTGTTAATTCAGAGATTCGAGTCTCTCACAGAGAGACTGAATGAATTAAAACTGAAAAATTGAGAGACTCGAGTCCCTCGTTCAGAGACGCTAAACAGTTGTTTTGACAGTCTCTCGACAGTCTCTCTCGGCGACACGGGAGAGACTCGATGAGAGACGGAGACTCGAGTCTCGCTTTCAGAGACTCTAAGAGACTGAACATTTTTATCTCGGGTAGTTACCAGCTAGCTTAAAAGAACGTACATTGATTCTATAAATTTGTATTCATAGAAGTTATCTTTGAATTTTCAGTTCGATCTTTTTTTGAGTACACCCAACAGCCAATTACACGCATTCGGCATAAATTTGCTGGGCTTTTCTGTACAGATTAAAAAAATTCTACGGATTGTTACTGATAACGAGACAATTAGCCTTTGAATGAAGTAAAGAAGTAAATTTGTAATAGGGATAAGATGAATATGTTTTTATCTTGACGATTGTTTATAACGACAAAAGGGCACAGAAAGAAGATAATGTAGGTATAGATAGAACGTTATTTTAAAGAAAAAACTTTAGGGAAAACTCCATATGTATTGAAATGTGCACGTCGAAGTTTGTCATGGTGTTTTTTGGTATTTATTATATTGGGTAGGTTATCGTAGGGTACAGTTCTCGGTCGATACAATACTGTTTCTACATATCTTTTGATTTAGAAAAAGCTTTTGACAATGTTAAATGGGACAAGATGTTAAATATAATTAAGAATGTAGGGATGAGTTACAGAGATGGAAGAATGATATTTAGTTTGTATAAAGAGCAACAGGCAGTTATAGAGCTGAAGCTGCAACATAGAGAAGTAAAAATTAGGAAGGGAATCAGACAGGGATGAACACTGTCATCGCTACTTATTAATCTGTACATCGAAGACGCGATCAACATAATTGAAGACAGTACAACTGTAAAGATAGATATACAGGGGTAAAAGATTAGAATGGTTAGATTTGCAGATGACATAGAAGTATTAGCATTTAGCAAAGAGGAGTAGAGATAGCTTTAAATAAAATGGATACGGTATTGACAAAACATTATTGTATGAAAATAAATAAAAATAAAACAAAAATACTGGCATGCCAGGAAACAAAAATTAGGAAAAGAGCGAATGTAAAGATAGAAGACGAAAAGTTAAAAGAAGTGGCTGATTTGCGGTATCTAGAAAGTCAGATGAGTCAGGACGAAAGGAGTAGTAATGATGTTAAGCAAAGAATAGCGTAGGGTTGAGTCTCCTTCAATAAAAAGAAGTCGCTTCTATATTCGCGAACGGTTAATTTAGAAATTCGAAAAAGATTGTTAAAGGTGTGTGTTTGGAGAGAGACGCTGTACGGGTGCGAAACATGGACGGTGGGTGCGGTGGAAAAGAAAAGGTTAGGAGCGTTTGAAATGTTGTGTTGCAGGCGATGGTGGATAGAGAAGGTTAGAATTAAGGAGGTATTAGAGAGAATAGGTGAATAAAGGACTCTCTATGGAAGTCAATAAGAAATAGGCAAGATAAGCTGGAAGGACACTCTGAGTCATGAGGGTCTAGTCAGAGACATATTAGAGACAGAATTGGTAGTTAGGACGGGTAGAGGTAGACCTACATTAGATTACTGTTCTCAAATGTTTAAGGATATGGGATGTTCTAGTTTTAAGAAAATACGAGGGTTAGCTCAAGATAGGAAGGAGTGGAGGTGCGTGTCCAACCAGTCTTAGGACTTATAACCGTCCGACTGTTGTCGTTTACATGGTTACAATCGACTCAATAAAGTGTACTGTATGAATGTAATGAGGTCTCTGCTGGTGTATTTCGCGACCCAGAACATTCTAAAATGCCTATGCCTTGTGTTCTACATTTGGTAGTTTCAGAGCGAAGTGGGCTTGGTAGTCGGACATGTGATTAATTGTGAAAGAAATTCGATTTTCATTCAACAATGTACGGGAATTGAAAATGTATCGTAAATTATCCTTGTGCGTAGACAGAAAGTCGTGTTTTTTCGTCTCTCGTCACTGTAATATTGGTTTGTTTCTAATAAATCTAGGTGAAATCGATACAAACTTGAACAACAACTATGAAACTTTAATGAAAATACGAGGACGAGGTACGTGCCGAAATATATTATTGACATTGACACTACAGGTACCTACTCGTTCTTTGACACTTGACGAATCAGTGAGCGGCAACTTACCCTTTTGTCATGGTGGCGAGACGTTGTCGTTCTGTTGTAGAAAACTTATATGTACTCTATTATTTAATCATGTTGTTACGTAGGTATTGTGACTGAATCTGACTGTTTTCTGAAGCTGACGCCGTGTGTAAATGATTAATGTGATAAGACTTGTGTGAGATGCTGCGTCGCAAACATTCGTAACACACTTATCCTTGGTGAACTTGTATGTATCTGTATTAGATACATTATAATAGAAGACAGACTTTCGTAAACGGAGAACTGAACA